TCAATTTTTATGACTGCTTCATCACTCAGTCTCACACCTCTACATCTCAGCAAACATCTCCTTGCTTTGAAGCTCCAGAGAACAGGACATGTTGACAATCGCCAGGTGTTACCCATTGTTACCCTCAAGATTCTAAAAATATCTGTAACTACATATCTATAATTTTGTAATGGTGGTAATAACTTGATTTGTCATTGTTATCACTCCCAAACCTCAGTTAATTACTTCCATTTCGGGTGTAATACACTCTTGCAGCCTTTGAAAGTCTGTCTAGGCCAATTAGATGATGAGGCCATGAGTAATAGAAAAAAAACTCTTGGTGTCATTGTGCCAAAACAACCCTATCAAGTTGATAACAAATAAATGCTGCAAAACAGAACAGCCGATAGTATTGGTGTGGCTGATATGGAGGATAAATTAAAAAAAGTTGACAGACTTTTAAATGAGACAAACATATCATCTGTCCATATACTTTTATAAACATCAAGAATATAAAATATTAATATTATATTTCAGTATTTAACATTTGACTTAAATAAATCTGTTTGATTCAATTAACCTGAAGAGCAATCCTTTGTTCCGCAAATATCCTTTTTTAAGGGTGTGTTGTCAAAGGACCAGCATTGGCACATTGTCGAATGTAAATAAATGTATTCTATATTCTTACACATGGCGGAATAAGAAAGAACAAAAATCCTGTGGTACTTCCATTTACACGTCACCAAATATGCGATACGAAAGGGAGCTAACAAATCCCCTTTCAACATTTAAAGTATTACACAGTATTCTCAGATGATTTCTCTAAAAAGATTCATCTTCTCATACCAAAATAAATGTTGGGGGCTACCTAATGGCCTTCTATTTTCAGCATGTGTTTTTGTTCTACAGCTGCTACACTAGCTCATCTGTTGAGATCCCTTCTGTCAGATGCTCAGTATTCTTTGCATTTACAATTGTTGGGTGATTCCATGGATTCACAGATGCTCATACAGAAATACAAGGTTCTGCCAGAATCCAGAGGGTATTTTCTAGAGAAAAGAGCTGAAAACAGATAATTCATGGAGATGACCTCAAGCTGATTTGTAAATTAGGATTGTGGTTATATATTAATTTTCAGCCACTTTTGCCTCTGAAGTGATATTTAGCATCTTGTTGAACAGGATCTATAATTAAATCTTTACTAAAGATTTACTTGTATAGTGATTGATTGGTTTTTTTAGATGTCTGAGGTAAAAATAAAATATTGTTCTAAAGTCAGTTAATATACAGTATTTCTTGGACAATGTGAGATCTTTTCTTACACAATCTAACACAATGCCTCTAGTACAATTCTAAGAACATGAGTATGTACCTAATCTAGTATTACTGGGTACATGATGGATTAATTTTAGCACACACAGGGAAAATGAACAGAAATGTCATACTGTTCAGAAATCCCCTTGCGATAATAGGAAGAAAAAACATCCAAGTAAGAGATTTACAGAGACAATTCAGTTTCCATTTGTGGTTTACTCTGGTTTGAACTGAGAAGGTGAATGGAATGAATTTGTAAAGGTTTGAAAAGAGTTGCTCTTCATAGGATTAAAAGTACTACTGCTTAACGTCTAGCATGAACAAAAACGGACTATAAAATCCTCTGTAACTTTATTTTGTTGTATTTAAGTAAAATTGTAAGATTTGTATTATTTTGCTTTCCTTGTTACCATCACAATTTGACATGAATTTTCACTCAGTTGGTGCAGTACTGTACATTTCTCTGTAGTTATTATCTGTGAATCTGTAATGTTGAAGAACAATGTGCTCTTCAACAAGTCAAACACCCATTTTAATATTTCATTATTACTTAGAGTCCCTGACTCTCTTTTTTTTTGTTATGCCACTAAATCTTTAAATTGAAAAGCCCAAGACAAACTTTTTTCATCTGCATGTGTAACAGGCACAGCTCTGCTCCTCTCTTGTGGGGATTTGATCACAGTAGCTCAGTGTATACACAGAACCACTTAGAAGCAATCTCCATTACACCAAAAGACTAGATCTTTTGCTGTTGGAAATCTCTACTTTTAAGTTTCAAAAGGATGACATCACTTGTGTAACAATAGTGCCAACATTTATACTCACCCACTCTGTAATACCCAGCAGGGAAACACAGAAATACTATAAGAATCTATTCTCATAAGCTGTTCTCCACCTTCTTTACTCTTTTCAATGCTTTTCTTCTTTCAACTCTGTGGATCCAACCATCACTTTTCCTCTTGGCTCCACCACTAACCTATCCTCCTCCTCCACCAAAATCTTGAACCTCATGCCTTACTCCTCTCTGTCTTACTCCTATTATATTTCTTCTTGAACATGCTCCAGTTCTTTTTGAGAAGCATTTGCATAATTTGTTGCTTCCTTTTTAGCTTCGCCATTCACTTTCTTGTCCAGGCAAAAGTCCTCTTTTGCCCAGACTGTTCTAACTCCCTCTTGGCCAATCTCCCTGCCAGTAGCTAACCAACGCCAGCAGAATTTTGATAGTAACCTTCCATTTTCCCTTCTTCAGTTTTCTCATGCAACACTATTGTTCCAGTGCCTCCACTAGTTCTCTATAGCTACTGTACACACATTCTTTACAGAACCCTTGTTAGAGCCTGCCAGTATTTGAATAATTCTAATCTTGTCTACCCTAAGTCTCTTAACTCTCCTTATAATCCTATCTCACCCCCTCTACTCCTTCTTTTCCATCTGACTTTCTGTATCTTCTCTTGGTTCTCCAGCTACAGTAGTCTATTCTGCACCTTTGTTCTTCAGCTTGGAATGAACTAACCACAGAAATCAGAACTGCTCATCACCTGCTCAAGGCACATCTGTTCTGAGTTGTGATCAATTAGTTCTCAATTGCATGCTTTAATAACTTGTACACTATGTTGCATAATTGCGCTTATCCATTGTAAACATGAAATGCATATCAATGTGGTGTTTACATTGCTGCTGTTTAACAACACTATCTCTATGCTGTTTCTTATTAATTCATTGTATTTGCGCTGCTCTTCCATTACTCTGCTTGTGTTAGTCTTATTGTTATTTAAGTAATCTAATTTATTTTTTGTACTGTAAATGTATGATTATGTCTTGTACTTACATTTAATGTAAATTGTTTATACAGATTGTATGGTTCCCTCAATAATGGAATATGGTAGGCAAATAAAAATAATCTATCAAATTACAGGAATGATTATTAGATTTAGCCAATTTATATAACTGGCAGGGGTAGAACAGTTAAAAGAGACTTTCTAGCTGTTTATCTTTTTATGGCTTATCAGCGAGACATTATTGACTATGACCATTGCAATAAGCATAAAGGAAAACTGAGGTTATTAAGCAGTAATATAAAGACCTGCAAGGTAAATAAATCTGAAAAGCAATGCTGTTGAAAAAGTACTGTTTAACATATATAGTATGTATATATAACATATAAAAATGTATCAGATAAATATTGCAACAGAAGGCATTTCTTTTTACTGATCAAAGTTAGCTATGTCATGCAGATGAGCCCTAATAAATGAGAAGCAGTTGTCCAGGCTGCTAACTTTATTTTTGCCAATAAAATAATTAGTCTCTTTTAAAATATCCATTCACATCAGCATTATGAATATGGAACAATTCACTCCCAATATTAATAATAACTACATTCTTTTAAAAACAAATAATAAACTAGAGAGGTGTTTCTTGTAAGACAGCTAAATATCAAAAATATTTCAGCTTGCTGATTCACAGCTGGTATGTAAATTTTCCATATGTACAGTAGATATCCCTGCAGAACTCTATTACTAGGGCTACATCTTGTATTACATGGAACCAAACCTCCCTCAGATTTTTTGGAAACACAATAGATTATAAAATGTTATAATTACTGTATGACTGCTGTAATTGAGGGTCACAAGGCTTAAATTTAATAAACTGTTATTTGGTAATCATTGCATTAAAGCCTCATTAAATGCAGATTTATCAAGAAAATAAAAGCTTATTTGCCCAGTAGGAAAGGATGTGTAGTGACACTTTTTCATGCTCTGGATAGGATAAGATGTAAATTTGTAAGAGACTGACAAATCAATTAAAGAAATGCTGAGTAAGTCTTAATGGGAAAATAACTAGCATGGTCCCTCCACAGTTTGTGAAGATTGAAAAATGTGGTTAAGTTTAATGATGTGTCCAGTTACTGTTCAGGTGCTGTTTTATTTCATTTTATTGCTCCTAAGAAATACACGTTTGGCTTGTCTGTTTAGACAGTTTAAGGATATTTCTACAGGATTATGATGACGATATCCTAGCTGATAGTGAAATTTGTGAATGGAATATTACCCATAATCAGCGGTTTGTTAAAATAGTTGTTCCTTTATTCTCAACTGTTCTTTAAATACTTTTGTTTTATGGGGAATTATGTCATCTGTTATTGCAGTTATCCAAATTAGGATAGTTTCAGTTTCAATTACTAATCTTATTTTCTATCTTATGACATTTGCAGCTGATATCAGTTGTGTGAATGTACACAAATCATATAAGTCGCGTTTCTGAAAGGGAAAATTCTCAGGTTTTACTCAATATGTCTTTAGCTCAATTAATATTTGCCAGCACAGGGAAACACCCAGGTTTAACACTGGAAATACAATACAATTAATGTGGTTTGCTGAAATTGAGAGAAGAAAACTGCTCTTCATGCTTTTCTAAGATTCTCTTCCTGAGTCAATCCCCTAGGAATTTTCAGCCTGAGGATTTAACACAGGAGGTCACAATTCAGTAGTATGGTTGATTCTATAGACCTTTTTAAACTGCTAACAGCAACAGTCTTAAGAAAAGAGTTTAACTGTTCCAGTTTATTTTAAATAGCCTATTTAAAGTTCAGATGAATTGTAAACCAAAAAGCCCATGTTCCTCCAGGACTGGCTGTGCACTTGAGTTACAGTACTAATACTGTAGGTAGAATATTATGTCACCAAGAAATGGTTTTGTTTCACATATAGGTCTGGAATCTGGAGTCTTGTATCACAGAGAAGGGGCACTGTATGAAGTTCTGCACAGAGACCTGCTCTTGGTGAGTGAAAACTGTCTTTTTAAAGGCTGGTTTGAGTTTTCATCATGATGAAGAGAACTGAAGACTGGAAAAAAAAAGTTTACTGTTACATTTTGTTAGATCTATCTGGAAGTCTTATAAGGTGCACCTAAAAATATATCAGTAATTGGTCATCATTATTCATTTTACTTATAAAATTATTTTTATTTTATTAAGATTTAAAACAAAAGTGGATTGGGGAAAACAGGTTTACAGTATCTTCTTAACATTCTTTTAATGTTTACTGAATATCTCTGAAATTACTTTTAAAGACTTCCGTCATTATGATTCCAGATTATTTTCAAATAGCTCAGTATTATGAGTTTTTTTTTATTTTGATTATTTATTAACCATAAGCTGGTAAGAAAAAAAACAATGTGTGCCAGTTTTAGCCATAAGGTCTATACTTGTACTGTAATAAAACATTATCACCTCTCATTGCAGATGACTGGATTACATTTACTGGTACAGTACATTGTCTGAGCAATTCTATAATTAGTTGCTAAATAGATTAAATTTTATCTTTGAGACTTTTGTATTTAATTTTTTATTTGATTAGTTGATTTTTCCTAATTTTGTCCAATAGGTTGTAATCAGACCTTCAAGAGTGAAACATTTTGATATTAGAAGTAAAAAGTGAATTTCTATTTCTTTTTTCATCAAACTTTTGGTGGACTGAAGATCTGCTCACTTGAGATTTTACTCTTTGTTTCACAAACATGTGTTGATTTTTTAAAATTGCAGATGCAGATCAGCTTCATACTTTGTGTTGTTTTGAAGAATGGTTTACAAATGTAGGTCATGTTTTCTAAAATGAGATTATTTCATGCAGGGAGCTGGAGTGCTTAGTCATTTTTATGTCCATTCATTTATATTCATTAAGCAATAAAAAGCTGATTTGTTCTACAAGAGGAAAACTGTGTTGCCCATACTGATGCCAGATCAAAGCTCTGAAAGCACTGTGCAGGAATGAATAAATATTTTTGGAGATGCCTAAATTGGAAATCTTTTTTATCCAAAGCTTTAATCTGTAGTGTAGCTTGTTCAGAAATATTTGGGATTTTGTTTACAATAACAAACAACAACACAAGATTAAAAACGTCATGAAGTCTTTCTAATATAGGATTGAAAATAATATCCAAGTGAATCTTATTTTGAAACTAAAACAAACCAGGCATTTTACTGTATGGTATGTGTTTTCTTTTTGTTTTCAATTTTCATAATTGAGGCAAAATTGTTGCATTTTGTGACAGTATGCCATTAATCTAACTGCCATGGAATACTATATTCATTGTTTTGAAACAATATAAAATGCAATTGTTAAACAGAAGGCATTGTGTTAGCATTTTTGCAGAAGGATTTGTAAAGCAACACAGACCAGCGAAGTCTGTGGTTCTTTAAGGTATAATGAGGTCTGAAAGGCAGCAATATTGTGACAAACAGTGCTTTATTTGAAAGAGAAAATTTTAACAAAACAAAAAACAAAGTCTGGCTTTCTTCTGAACCCTCCCTCATCTGAACTTTCATTCCTCCTACTAAATAAAAAAGAAACTTAGATTCCTCAGTGTAACTGTACTGTACATTCAGTCTCTCTGACTGGCTCCCTTCCCTGGGTTGCAAAGGTAAAAATCTGAGCCCTGCTCCCAGACTGCAAAGTGAAGCATTTGCTTCCAGGTATTATATTGTTACCAGACTACACCAATGGCGTAATTAATGGAGTACCACAGGGACCTGTACTAGAATTTAATTGTAAATCTGGAACACTGGCTTTTTTAAAACATGGCTGTATGAAACCCTCATATCAATATATCAATTATCTACTAACTACCAAATGGCCTTCTTGTTTGTAACTTTTGTTAGATCAGACTGGTCAGTGGATGGTATACTGCACCCATTCTCCTGCAGTGATTTGTCATTTGTACAGTACTGAACAGTTGAAATCAGGTATTGTGCCTGTATCTACAGATAATAGTACTGACACACCCATTTCCAGAAGTGACTGGAAAACTGAGCTCAAACTAGCTCATATAGCCGATTTTAGGACATTGAAGAATTCAATTCTAATTACAAATCGTAAAATAAATTACCTTAAATGTAAGATGTTGCAATTAGAGTAAAAACCTAAAAAAACAACAAAGTGTTCTAATTTTATCTAAAAAGTTTAATTTTCCAAAATTACAATATTGTTACTTGTATTATAGCTGCATTATATGAAAACAGGATAGGTTATAATATTTTCCACAGTGTATACAATATATGAACATCTTTTGATTACACTAAATACTTGAGTATTGTATTGATGTTTAAGCAGGACAATACTATTAATATGATTTTAGTATTCTTTCAGTGTAATTGTAGAACTTGAAATATCTGTGTATAAATAGTACGGATTTAGCACATTGTGTTAGCCAAAAAATATGGTGGAAATTGAAAATCTTGCATCTGGTGGATAAATATGTAATCAAAGATTCATATGGAATGAAATTGACTTACACATACAGTACAAATAAATGAATTGATGACATGACAATGAATGGATGGGTGGGACTAAGAGGGATTCATGCTTATTATAGCTCTGTGTCTCAGGTAGTATTTTGCAGTGCTGTCGACTGCTGTGAGAATAATTAGTGTGTGTGATGTGGGAAAACGAATGCTGGTGAGACTCTGGGGACTTCTGCAATGCCACTCAAGCACATGAACTGTGGGAGAGTTGTGTGTGAAGGAACAGGTCCTGTCTGACTCAGAGAGAATAAAAGAGATGCATTGTAAATGTTACTGGCACAAGGAAAAGGAAGAGGAAAATAGCAACAGCAAAAAAAAGAGGTTTTGCTTGCCTGTGAAAGATGAGAGTCAGAAAGCTAGGAAACACATAGTTCTTTATAGGTTTTCATCTGGTTAAGTATATTAAAATTTGAGACCCACTGTTAAGTAATAATTCTCTTGGTAATGTTAAACACCCAGAAAGCCTAATTGAAACTTTAGGCCAATCCAAAAAATTATGAAAGGGACAATGCCTTGGGACAATGACAAATATATCTGCACACACAATAGGGAGTGTGAATGTAATGTTATTTCAGATTTGCTGGACTTAAGCATTCAAAGTGGTTTTGCAAAAAAAAATATCTGATAGTGGAAAATTATTAACAAGTATTAAGTCTAAGACAATGTATTTTTACAATGCTCTCAATTCCTGCTGTTCCCTTTTTATTTTGCATTGTTATTAATGGAAATGAAAATGCCTGTATATTGCTGAAATCAGGATAATCCCTCACTGTCTAGTCCTAGCATTGTTCAGTGACCTCCACTGAGTAATGGAAGGACTCATGTGTTATTCATCGTAACTTACAGTATGTTTATAGAAAACTGCATCTTGGAATTCTGAACTGCAGTAAAAATATAACCAATCATTAAACAATATGTGACATTTTTATTACCGAGACCAAAACAGATGAAAACAAAATCATGAAACTCCAAACATTTAAATCCATGTACCTTTTCTTTCTTTACAATTTCAGTCCTAGAATGGAAAAAATTTGGTGATCTTTCTTTCTACTTTAGTTTATTTCTTAATTTGCTTTTTGGTACAGTATACCAGTTCCATTTTATGTTGATCCAATAACTCCAGTACTCATAAATGTGGCCCTGAATGTAATAGGCACTATTGAAAAAGAGATGAATCAAGTTTACTCTCAAATTGTTCTAACATGGTGGTTATTTTCAATGGCTCCACTTTAAATGATTGGGGTACTTAGTAAATTGGCTATTTTTCATATTACCAACATTTAGCCACTGCCGTAAAGCATCAGTTTACTTGAGAAAAAAGCAGCTTGATGCCTATGGCACGGATTACATTTTAAGAGCAACAAGAGTGAATTCCCAAAGAATGTAAACATAAAGGAGGACATGTCATTAATAAATATAAAAAATGGCATATATTCTCACATTTTATTCATTATGATTTGTTTTCGTTTTGCTTTTATTTCAAAATATTATATTTCATTTAAAATATTTCATTTAAAATATAATCATTTTCATTAATTAAATTTAGAATTTGGATATAAAAAATGGCTATGATACACTGTCGCAGGCTTCCATCTTTGCTTGTTTTAAGTGTGTCTGGAGGGAAGCTGGAACACAATTCTTAGTGCAAAACAGGATGCTCAAGATCTTTACTCTTAGCTCTTTAAATCCAAAAAATCTGACAGACGAATGTGATTCAGTCAGAACATCTTGTGGCTGTGAGAGTATGTGAACAGCTTTTAATGACTGAAAGATCTTGGACATGAACAGCCCTTTTTTCAGATAAATATTTACTTTTCATACATCATAAAAATGATTCACAAAAAATATTAATCCTGTCTCTCTCAACCTAGCATTAATCCCGTATCAGGAGGACTGCCCGTCTCCATTTGGTGGTTTGAACCAAATCTTTGAGCTGACATCACATTAAATGCGATTGTGAATGCTTTAACCGCTCCGTCTGCCGTTGGAGTGGGGGGGAGGAGAACAAAGTAATGTAGCCAATTCATAGAGGGGGATTATTAGGAGGCATAGGAAATTTGGCCAGGATGCCGGGGTTACACCCCTACTCTTTTCAAGAAACACCCTGGGATTTTTAATGACCACAGACAGTCAGGACCTCTGTTTTACATCTCATCCAAAAGACGGCACTTGTTTACAGTATAGTGTCCCCGTCACTATACTGGGGCATTAGGACCCAAATGGACCACAGGGTGAGCGCCCCCTGCTGACCTCACTAGCACCTCTTCCAGCAGCAAGCTTAGTTTTTCCCAGGAGGTCTCCCATCCAGGTACTGACCAGGCTCACACCTGCTTAGCTTCAGTGGGCTGCCAGTTGTGAGTTGCAGGGTGACATGGCTGCTGGCTACAAAAAAATATTAATCCTGTAAATAATATAAATATGATTTTCATAACAATATTATTATATTAGATTATATGAACAGAATGCCCCATTCCTCTGTT